GCCTGGCTAATTTTTTTTATTTGTTGTAGAGATGAGGTCTCACCAAGTTGCCCAGGCTGGTCTTGAACCTCTGGGCTCAGGCAATCCTCTCACCTCAGTCTCCCAAACTGCTGGGATTATAGGCATGAACCACTGTACCAGGCCCAAACATTATTATTGTATAACATATATCAATGAACCTGCAAAGCAGTCAGTGACTGTTTTATATGTTACCACATGTTAGAAAAATATAAGACATAACATTTTGGGTATTTTTTTTGTCATAAATAAGTTCCTTAATGTCCAAAATTCCATTGTAAGCCAAATACCATTGCAATAAAATAATTGTTTCCAATGTTGTACTATTTAATATGAAGTGATTTGTTTTTCACAATTTCATAAGAAAGTGTGTCTGAGTTGGTAGGTGATTGGTGTCTCCAAGTGCAAAGGTTTAAACATCATTGTAAAATTATATAGAGCTTGTCAAAAACTCTTTGTCTTGTCCTTTCTCTCTCTCTCTCTCTCTCTCTTTTTTTTTGGAGTTGGAGTCTCACTCTGTCGCCCAGGCTGGAGTGCAGTGGCACACTCAGGGCCACTCCAGTGTCGACCTGCTGGGCTCAGGCGATCCTTCTGCCTCAGCCTTCCAAGTAGCCAGGACTATAGGCGCTCACTACCACGACCAGCTAATTTTTTGATTTATTGTAGAGATGAGATCTCCCCAAGTTGCCCAGTCTGTTCTCAAACCCGTGGGCTCAGGCAATCTCTTCACCTCGGCCTCTCAAAGTGCTGGGATTACAGGCTTGAGCCACTGCACCCAGCCTCGTCCTTTCTCTTAAGACACTCATGTTCTTTCTCAAATGTACTTTTTCTTTCTAATAAATCCTGTCCTAAATTATAATTTGTACTTGCTCTGAAATTCTTCTCTGTGGTGAAGACAAAAACTCATGGAACAACTACACTCCACTCTACCCAAAATCATCTCAGGGTATAGCCCAACACCTAGTTCCTTTTAGGAGGAAATAGTATTTGAGACCATATTGGGCTCATTGCCTCTGGGGTTAGTCTCTGATTCTAGGCCTCTTTTTGGGTTTATTTAATCAATGTATAATACATCAGGATGTATTCATGTTGGCTTCTGTGTTCTTTTGAAAAAACTCCATCATTTTGAGCTCTTTCTTACTTTATGGCACCATAGTATGTTCCAGACTGATCTTGTGTTTTCCCTGTCCCAGCCCAAGATTTTTAAAAAATATATTTTATTTAGAAAGTAAATTAGAGAGAGAGAGAGAGAGAGAGAGAGAAAGAGGGAGAGAAGATTCACCTCCCCAAGGTAGGGGAGGGTGCCCAAGCTAAGAAAACATGGCAACCACAATTCAAGGAGCCACATGGCCAGACCATAGCTTAGCAAAGCAATGGCTGCAGCCCAGGGTTTTTGTTGTTGTTGTTGAATCAGGGTCTCAATGTGTTGCCCAGGCTGGAGTACAGTGGCACCATCATAGCCACTGCAGGATCAACCTGCTACACTCAGGTGATCCTTCTGCCTCAGCCTTCCAAGTAATTGGGACTACAGGCAGGGGCCACCATGCTATGCTAATTATTTTCATTTATTGTAGAGATATGATCTTGCCATGCTGCCCAGGCTGGTATCAAACTCCTTGGCTCAGGCAATCCTCTAGCCTTGGACTCCCAAAATGCTAGGATTACAGGCATGAGCCACTGTGTCTGGCAGGATTTTTTTTGTATATAATGAGAAAAATAGATCATGAATTCAACCTTATAGAAGTTGAAAATTTTTATGTCCTCTAAGTCAGCCGTCTGTCTTACCCTTTATTGGCATTTGCCTACTTTTATGTTGTACTTGGCTTCAATGAAAAGTGACCTTGAACCAATCTTTTTCCCATTTTGGGGGAGGAGGCAGGGCTTAGATTCTGAGACTGTGAAAAAGAGTGGATTCTGTGCTCTGTGACACATAGATGCAAGTAAATTAGTGTATATATCTACATAATAAATTATATATAATTTTTTTTTTTTGCAAAGGGTGGGAAGTCGATGCTCTGTACCCTAAATCCTTTCTGTAGAATCCCCTCTGAGCCCCGGAATCTTTGCATGACTCTCAGGCAGTCCAGGGAAGCTTTAGGCGGTGACACCTGCCTACAGCCCAAGTTATATAAGAGCGTGGGGGCTAGGTGACAGGAGAGAGGGACGGAAATGAAAGGTCGAAGTGGGGCTTGGGAACTGAGTCTCCATTGGGAGCCGCGGTGGGCCCACGACCTGAGCTGAGCTGAGCCGGAGTGGGTGGTGTTCTGCAAGGTAGGGCAGGTTCCCCCTTGGCTAGGCGGAGCTAGGGCTGGAGCGAGGAGCGACATCAGAGGCTGCGCAGCCAGGAGGCGGAGCTGCGGCCGGCGGAGGGGGCGGTCTCGGGTGGCGGCCAATGGCTGGCCCCAGCAGCCGCGGCGGCAGCCTCCCCGGAGTACTCTCGCGCGGGCTCCCTCCTCCCCTTTCCGTCCCGCCGCTGTCTCTGTCTCTGCGGTGCTCTGTCCGGCGCTGTCCCTGTTTTCGGCTCTTCGGGGCTTGTCTCCCGGTACTCAGTCTCTTTTGTGTTCGTCCCAGTCCCTCTCCTGTCTCTTCTCCCCAGCCTTGGCGCCGGCCATTCTTCGCGGCTTCGGCATCTGAGACCAAGGGCCTGCCCCGCGCCCCATGGAGGAGACCCCAGCGCCCCGCTCCGCCCCGAGACCGACCGAGGAGCCGGGGTCCGGTGCAGGTGAGCGGGGTTCGGAGAAGGGAGAGCCCCTCAAAAAGGGGGGCGCTGTGATCGTGGGGTTCAGCAGCTCCATCTACGCTTAGGAAATTTTGAGGGAATACTGAGTCAGAGCCAGACAGTTGACTAGCGGGTATTTGGGGCTGGTTCTCTGTCTCTCTCTTTTTTTTTTTTTCCATTGAAGATAAACTTAAATCTAAGAGTTGGTATTTAGAGACGAAAGGGAACTGAGACTGGGAAAACTTTTCTTACTAGGGAAGGGTCTGTGGACGGCAGAAAGAGCCCTGAGCTGGAACTTGGGAGACCTGGGTCTTGGTCTAGGTTTTGCACCTGAGTGGCCTTCTGTAAGCTTCCCCTCCTGTATGGGTCTGAGTTTTCTCATCTATACCATGAGAGGGTTTAGAGTACTCTTCAAAGGTTTGATGCATGATAGGTGCTCCTTAAATATTAGTTGTTAGGAAGGAATAAAGGATAGGGGAGGCCCCCGTCTGGGTTTCATTGGAGGCTCACTGGGTTAATTGAAGGCTGTGGAATGACATTATTATTATAGTTTGAGAAATAGGCGGTATTATTTCTATTTTACAAGTGAGGAAACTGAGCCTCAGAGGTAAAGTGACTTGCTAATAAGCATCAAAGCCAAGTCACACTTCAGAGACTATGCTACACTATACTTTCTCCCAGTAAGAAAGCAGGGAGGACTTGACTGGAAGGTGATTATAGGACCAGCAGTTAATAATTTGAATTCTTTGCTGAAATGAACAACTCCAAAGCCGACCTGTATCTGATTCTTCTCTATCCCTAGTTCGAAGCACATAATTTGTGTGAAATAGTTTGAGTGTCAATGTCAGAGTCGCCATCTATGTTACTGTCATCAACATGATCAACATATTCAAAACTAATGACTCTAATTATTGTAGTGATAGAGCCATAAGTGAAATTGGAAGACGTCAAGAATTCTATTTATAAAGTACTTTAAAGTTTGTAAAGCACTTTGAAAGCTTCTTCACATTACTTTCTTCTTAGGAGTAGGTATTATTACCCACATTTTACAAGCAAGGAATCCAAGAACTAGAGAGGTTGAGTAACCAGCAAAGGTCATACAACAAGGAATAAGGCTGGGGCATAAATCTAGTCCATATGAAAGCTGTGCTCCTTTGATAATCTTCCCATTTCCACGACCTTTCTCTTTTCCTAGTCCTGTCCTCCTCCATGTCTGCCTGTGCTCTATTCTTCTTATCACCTGGAGGGTACTTTTTTAGATGTTAACTAATAGTCCCATGTTGGCTGATGATTAGTAGTGTTGGTATAACTTACAATTAAGAGTTTAAAGTATGGTCTCTGTAGAGGTGAAGAGGGATTTAAAGGCTTTTAGGGGCTGGGCACAGTGGCTCACACCTGTAATCCCAGCACTCTGGGAGGCAGAGGCATCAGAATTGCTTGAGCCCAGCCGGGGCAACGTAGTAAGACCTCATTTCTACAAATAAAAAATTAAAAAATTATCCAGGTGTGGTGGTGTGCACCTGTAGTCCCAGCTACTTGGAAAACTGAGGGCAGAAAGATTGCTTGAGCTCAGGAGTTGGAAGCTGCAGTGAGCCATGATTGTGCCACTACACTCAGCCTGGGTGACAGAGTGAGATGTCAACTCAGAAAAATAAAAATAAAATCATAGGCTGGACACAGTGGCTCACACCCGTAATCCAAGCACTTTGGGAGGCCAAGGTGGGAGAACTGCTTGAGCCCAGGAGTTTGAGACCAGCCTAGGCAACATAGTGAGACCCTGTCTCTATAACATAAAAAATAATTTGCTGAGTGTAATGGTGCATGCCTGTAGCCCCAGCTGCTCGGGTGACTGAGGTGGAAGGATCGCCTAAGTCCAGGAGGTCAAAGCTGTAGTGAACCATGATTGTGCTACTGCACTCCAGCCAGGGCAATAGAGTAAGACTCTGACTAAAAACAAAACAACAACAAAAAAAGCTTTTTAAGAATGGGAGTTATAATTGTCATCCTGAATACAGGATTCAAGGAATGAAACTAGACTATGTAGTGATGTAGTGATTGGTGGTTAAAAATACTACCTTCCATATATTGCAGTCACACTATGTCATAGGCCTCGTCACAGGCACTTAAGCATTTTAATTTATTTCTATCAACACTCTACTGAATTTTATAGGTGAGGATGTAGAAACAAGAGAAGTTGAATAACGTACCCCAGGTCATGTAGTCCTGGCCTGGTCCAAATCCTATGTTCCTAACCCTTATATCAGCCTGACTCTGGGACAGATATTTACTTAGAAGAAAGCCTGACCCTACTTGGCAGGAGAGCCTGAATTGATGGGGGAAAGGTGTGTTCTAGTTCTAATACTGGTTGAGGCAGATAGTTTATACTTTTTTTTTTTTTTTTAGTAGGGGTCTCATTCTGTTGCCCAGGCTGGAGTGCAGTGGCACAATCATTGCTCATGACAGCCTTGACCTCCTGGGTGCAGGCAATCCTGCCTCAGCCTCCTGAATATCTGGAACTACAGGTGTGCACCGCCACACTTGGCTAGTTTTTCTATCTTTTTTTTTTTTTCTTTTGTAGAAATGGGGTCTTTCTTTATTGCCTGGGCTGATTTTGAATGCCCGGGCTCAAGCAGTCCTCCTGCCTCGGCCTCCCAAAGTGCTTGGATTACAGGCATGAACCACCACGCCCAGCTCCCTTGTCTATCTTTTGATTCTGCTGTTGAGAACCCAGGATTCCCATGAGGGGAGGCTTTTCTTTTGAACTCAGCAAGGTCACCTCCCCCACTCCACTCATGATAATGAGCCATAGTGACTAAATGAGTCATTCATATGCTGTTGATGAAAATTTGCCTTGATTGCCCCTAGGTGGCCATAGCCAAAACAGTGCTAGTCTCATGCAATTACATGAGCTCACTGTTTTCTTTTGCCTTCAGGCTTTTATTAGCCACTGCCTCTGCCCTTCTTCTTTTTACCCTCAGTTGGCTAACACACTCTTCACTATTTAAGATCCAGCTCACTCATTCATTCAGTCATTCAACAAATATTTGTTGAGTGCACACCACATGCCAGGCATAGTTCTAGGTGTGGAAGTGTAGCAGTGAATAACAGACTTATCCTTATCCTTTATGGAGCTTCCCTTTTGTAGAATGCATTAAACAAGTGTAGTACGTGAGACATAGAAGGTGATGAGTGGTGTGGAGAGTGGAGCAGGGAAAGAGGATAGGCAGGGCAAGGAGTTGCCAGGGAAGGCCTTGCCAGCTGGATGATATTTGAAAGAGCTGAACAGGTGAGGAAGTGCGTTTTGCATCTACTTGAAAGAAGAGTGTCCCAGGCAGAACCCTTAATGATCTGAGGCAGGAGCACTTGGCTCAGATTTATCCTCCAAAACTCCTCCTCTGATGCCTTGATCTGGACAGGTGCCTCTTTATGATTCCTACTTGCTCTGTATTTACTTTTACAGTAGTACTTATTACATCATAATTGTCCACGTGTATGTCTGTTTCCCTCTCATGGCTGTGGGTTTCCTGAGAGGAGGAACCTCTGATTTTTCTGTCTCCTCAGCATCCCCCTTGTGGCTTGACACAGAAGGCACTCATAAATGTTTAATAAATGAAGGCCTAACTCTTATAGCCTGATAATTTTTACAAATGCTTTATAGGTGAGGGCTTGGATGGCAGATGGTTTGAGGAAAAAGTAATTATTTTTTTCTGGTTTTTGCCTAGTTTTTTTCGTCTGGCTTGATTCCCTTTTGGGGCCTCAGAAGTGAAACACCTGATTTTCTTTGAGGAGAGTACCTGGAGACTTCCACTGTCAGCATTATGGCAGGGTCGCTAACCTGTAAAATGTGGATAAAATACAACAAAGCTCTTTATACCTGAATTTGCAAGAAACTAAGAGAAATATCCAGGGGCCTAGAAGCCAAGTGTGAGCTGAAAAGCAGAGTAGTTAGCTCTTAAATGCCCTCATCTGCACTGGATTTTTGCTTGTCTCACCTAGAAACTTGGACTTTGGCCAAGTGTGATGGCTCATGCCTGAAATCTCAGCATTTTCAGAGACTGAGGTGAGATGATTACTTGAGCCCAGGAATTTGAGACCAGCTTAAGCAACATAGCGAGACCTTGTTTCTACAAAACAAACAAACAACAACAACAGAAAACTAGCCAGGCACCTACTCATAAGGCTGAGGTGGAAAGATTGCTAGAATCCAGGAGGTTGAGGCTTCTGTGAGCCGTGATTGTGCCTCTGCAGTCTAGCCAGGTGACAGAGTAAGACCTGACTCAAAAGAAAAAAAGGAAACAAACTTGGGGTTTAATAGGCATGCTGTTATAGCCAACAAAGCTACAGATCTGCATAGATTAGACTCTAGTTAGAATGGAGATCCTCACATGAAGCTTGGTCCTTTGAAAGTCTATATTTTGTATAGGGTGTACATAGTCTGATGGGGTGGACTAGTGTCATAGTCCATTTTCTTTTGCTTATAACAGAACACCTGAAACTCAGTAATTTGTAAAGAAAAGGAATGTATTTCTTACAGTTGTGGAGGCTAAGTCCAAGGTCGAGGGGCCCCATTTGGTGAGGGACTTCTTGCTGATGGGGACTCTCAGTAGAGTCCTGGGCATCACATGGTAAGGGGGCTGAACATGCTAGCTTAGATCTCTCTTTCTTCTCTTATAAAGCCTCTAATGCCACATTCATGGTAACCCATTAATCCATTTGTAAAGATAGCCTTCATGACCCAGGCTCCTCTTAAAGGTCCCATCTCTCAACTCTGCCACATTGGGGATTAAGTTTCAACATGAGTTTCGGAGGGGACAAAAATCCAAACCAGAGCAACCAGGGGGGGATAAAAACACCCTCCTTACAGAGATAACAAAGAAGATTGCTTTTTATCCTAGGAGCTAGTACAGGAAAAAGTTTTCTCAGAGAATTCTTAGCCACAGGCATTCACTCATATGGATTTGGGTTTATATTCATATTATCTGAATGGCTTAGAAACCCCAAGCTAAGAAGCTGACGTTAAAAACTATCCCAGCCTGGTAATGCCCATGAATGCTTGACAGAAACAAGTGCAGAACTTCTCTGCTTCAAGATATATGCTTGACATAGCCTGCATAGGATCCCTACAGATCTGGAGAATAGATTTGTTAAATGAGAAGGTATATTGGCCAGATGTGGCTCGTGCCTGCAGCACTTTGGGAGGCGGAGACGAGAGGATTGCCTGAGTCCATGGGTTCGAGACCAGCCTGGGCAACATGGCGAGACCTCATCTCTACAATAAATCAAAAAATTAACTGAGCATGGTGGCACACACTTGTGGTTCCAGCTACTTGAAAGACTGAGGCAGAAGGATCACTTGAGCCCAGCAGGTTGAGGCTGCGGTGGCCGTGAGCATACCACTGCACTCCAGCCTGGGCAACAGAGTGAAACTCCAACTCAGAAAAAAAAAAGGAAAGATACATTGTATGCTTTGTGCTATTGAGACCATATGTTACCTTTGTGTATATATATTAAAAAATTGAGGATATCTTTGCCGCTTCAGAAATGGAGTGATAGAGCAGAACTTAATATGTAGTCTTGCATCTGGGTATGGACACACATTGAGCTGCCTCTTATCCTTGCAGAGATCATGGAAGAAGTGACAGCATGCTCCTTCAACCACCCTCTGTTCCAGCAGGAAGATGAGACAGGGATTACCTACCGGATCCCAGCCCTGCTCTACGTCCCCCCTACCTGCACCTTCCTGGCTTTTGCAGAGAAGCGGTCCACGAGCAGGGATGAGGATGCTCTACACTTGGTGCTGAGGCGAGGGTTGAGGACTGGGCACTTGGTACAGGTGACTCCTCATCCCAGGTCTGAACCTGGGCCTCAGTTTTTTCCATAGAGCTCAGAGCACTTACAGGTCTATGTCTTTTCCCATCAGTGCAGGAAAAGTCCTGTGTGGGGAGTGGAGGAGGAAAAAACAGTAAAAACATAGCTCAATGAGTGCCTGGGGCACATGGGTCCTCATAGCCACTCTGTGTTGTAGGTACTGTTGTCACATATTACAGATGAGGAAACTGAGACTTAGGTTGCCATTTGTGCAAGGTCATGCTTCTACAGTGGCAGAAGCAGGCTTCAAATTCATTTTCTGATGGCAGAGGCCTCCACAGTTAATTTAGATCCAGCTCCCATGTGGCATGTTTTTCACTTATATTCCTTCTAATCCTCATAAATCACCCAGGGAAGTGAGCATGTCAGTCCAGTTTTGCTGATAAGGGACCCTGGTGCTCCAAGAGGTAGTTAACTTGCTCAAGACCACATTTAGCAGATGACAGAGGAGTAATAGCAGTAACAACCCTACTACTGCTATTACTGAAAGCTATATGTGAGGTACATATTATTCCAGTTTTACAGGAGGTAATTGAAGTAAAGTGATTTGAATTAAGAATTAAAGTCCAGCCTGGGCAACTTGGTGAGACCTCGTCTATACAATAAATCACAAAAACTAGCCGGATGTAGTGGAATGCATTCTGGCTAGTTTTTGTGATTTATTATACAGATGAGGTCTCACCAAGTTGCCCAGGCTGTTCCAGCTACTTGGAAGGCTGAGGTGGAAGGATTGCTTAAGCTCATCAGGTTGAAGCTGTGGTGGCCATGAGCATGCCACTGTGCTCCAGCATGGGCAACAAGAGTGAGACTCCAACTCAAAAAAAAAAAAAAAATTGACTTGCTTTGAATATACATCTAGTAAGTGTCAAAATTGGTACTGGAGCCCTTGCCCTTAAGTAGTAAGTACATTTTTGCTGTATTTTTAGTGAAGAAAGAATGGTTTCTGCTCTTTGGCTTGGGAGCTTCAGGGTTATTTCAGACTCCCAACAGGCATACTGGGAAATATTACATGTTTGGTTCCAGACCACCACAATTAAGCAAATATCACAATAAAGCAAGTCATAAATATTTTGATTTTCAGTGCATATAAAAGTTATATTTACACTCTACTGTGCAGTAGCATTATGTCAAAAAAAAGTGTACATTTAAAAAATACTTTATTAGTCTTGGTGTGATGGTTTACACCTATAATCCCAGCACTTTGGGAGGCTGAGGCAGGAGGGATTGCTTGAGCCCAGGAGTTTGAGAATTTTTTAAAAATCAGACCACAGCCTGGGCAACATAGTGAGACCTCATCGCTATAAAAAAATGAAAAAAAAATAGGCCAGGTGTGTTCCTGGCTACTCTGGAGGCTGAGGAGGAAGAACCCAGGAGTTTGAGGTTGTAGTGAGTCATGATCGTGCCACTACATGCCAACCTGGGTGATAGAGTGAGACCTCTAGTCCAAAAAAAATAAGGCTTCAGCCTAACAGCCATCTGAGCATTCAATGAGTCATAATCTTTTTTGCTGGTGGAGGGTGTTACCTTGATGTTGATAGCTGCTGACTGATCAGGGTGGTGGTTGCTGAGATCAGGGTGGTTGTGGTAATTTCTTTTTTTTTTTGTAGAGGCATTTTCTGTTATGTAGATAATTTCTTAAAATAAGACAACAATGAAGTTTGCTGCATCGATTGACTCTTCCTTTCACAAAAGATTGTAGCATGCAGTGGTGTTTGATAGCATTTTACCCACGTAGAACTTCTTTCATTCTTCTCCAACCCTTCTGCTGCTTTATCAACTAAGTTGATGTAACACTCTGAATTATTCACTGTCATTTCAGCAATGTTCACAGCATCTTCACCAGGGGTGCTTTTGATTTAAACAGAGATGCCACACTCTTCCTTTCACTTGAACATTTAGAGGCCATCTAAGGGTTACTAATTGACCTAATTTCAATATTGCGTTTCAGGAAATTGGGAGGCTTGAGGAGAGGAGAAAGACGGGGAACAGCAGGTGTATGGAGCAGTCAGAACACACATTTATCGATTAAGTTTACCGTGTTATGTAGGCATGGATGTGTTGCCCAGAAACAATTAAAATAGTAACATTAAAGATCACTGATCACAGGTCACCGTAAAAGATATTATAATAATGTTGACAAAGCTTGAGATGTTGCAAGAATTACCAAAACATGCAATAAAGCAAAGTGCAATAAAGTGAGGTATGCTTATATAAGGGGGGAGCCAAAAAACCCCAGAGTCTATTAAAAATTGTGTATTTATCTTACATGTTTAAACTTCAGTCACCTTCAGAGTATTCTCCGTTTGATGTAACACACCTGTCAAGATGCTTTTTCCATTGCTCAAAACAGTTTTTGAACTTGTCAATTTTGATGCCTTTTAGTGCTTCTGCCATTTTTGTTTCACCTCTTCCACATAGTAAAATATTTCCCTTTGAGGACTTTTTTCATCGGGGAAACAAAAAAAAGTCACTTGGTGCAAGATCAGGTGAATAGGGAGGGTCACAGGGCTCATGCCATTTTTGGTCAAAAACTGTTTAACACTCAGTCCTGTGTGGGCAAGTTGTTCTTATAAATTGCCCATGATGAAATGGGCATTTTGAAAGACTCCAAAAAAATTTCACTGAAGCCAAACACAGCCTCTCACAACAATGCTAGCTAGAACACTTACGTAGTGGGGGAAGCCTATACTACAAGGGACCTGCCCTCTAAAAAATAATTCCTGTTTTATTGGGGTATCCCTTCATATTTCTTGTTACTTTCCTCTCAGAGCTGGCTGAAGCAAGACATAGGAGATGATGGTTTTGAGTTTAGTAAAAAATATATAGCAAAGTCATCTCTCTGTATCTGTATTTTTATAATTGGTACCTTAAAGCCCCTAACCTACCCTGCTTTTCTACCTACAGATGTCTGAAATCTCACCACTGAACCTTCATATCCACACAAGATGCCTTGTTATGGTACAAATGCTGTCCTACTGAGCATGGGCCTTGCCAGCAAACCCTATCCCTTGCTTTTAATGATATTGGCTCACATTCCCCCATGATTAAGTTTTTGACTTTAAGGAATTTTCAGTCCCTGTTCTTTTGACTTATCTTGCCAGGAGTCTTCCTCATAACTTCCCAGGGTGGACTTCTGTTTGTATAACTAGCCTCTATAAAAGTCCAGCCCTATATCTCAGCAAAGCTTGGAATTCTAGCTTTTATATTTCTTCTGGGACAGGCATTGCCTGTGGTCATTGGTCATGTCACTCTGCTTCCTGTCACAGACAGTGAACTCAAGAGGTCCTCCTGCCTCAGTCTCCTGAGTTGCTAGAACTACAGGAGCACACCACTGTCCCCGACCTTATTTATTTATTTATGTGTTTATTGAAACAAATTCTAACTCTGTTTCCCAGGCCAGAGTGCAAGCTATTCACAGGTGTGGCTATTGTACACTATAGCCTCCAACTCCTGACCTTAAGTGATCTTCCTGCCTCAGCCTCTTGAGTAGCTATGTCTGCAGGCAGGTGCCACTGTGCCTGGCAAGCATTTTTAAAAAATCAGACCACACCTGTTGCATACTCTCACAACCCAGGAGTCACACACTTTCACAAACGTGTTCACTTTAGCTCATTCGTTCTTCTCTTTATTTATTTACTTTCATTCTCTGATTTATTTAATTGTGGAATCTAGAAGTTAGAAGAATCATGAACTCCTTTCCCAATATAGAAATCTTCTGTATTCCATTGGTAGCTAATAATAGCTTAGTGGTTAAGAGCATGGTTTTAGAGTCAATCAAGACCTGCCATTTTTTGGCTGGGTGACCTTGAATACTTGACTCCTCTGTTTCATCATCTGCACTGTAATTAATAATAGAAATTACATAGTAAGAATGCAACATTAGTCATTTTCCATAAGAGGTCTGCTTGCACAGCTCTTCAAATTAGAAACTTAATCTTGTGGCAACTGCTAAGATTTTTTTGTGTATGGATGAGATGATCTCTACTTAGTAATTACCTATGGTCTTGCGTTGCCATCTGGGATGAAGCAGTCAACTCTACATAATATAAATAATGTCTCTTTTTTCAGACAACTACTATCTGAGGTACCTGGAAGCTGTGTTCGTGCCTCCTGAGTATTCTCCTTTCTGGGCCAGTCAGCTTCATTTCTTTTAGTGGCTAATTACTCTACAGTCCTGATTTGGTTTCTGCTTGCTTAGAAATTGTGGTTACTGACGTTGGGATCTGGCCTGAGATGTTAGTGTCCTTTCCAAATTGTGATACTCAATTGAACCTAAGACTCCACGGGTAGGCTGGCCAGCTCAGCAGTGAGGTGAGCGGTGCCATCTTGTGTCCTTTTAAGGCAGTCTGAGGTAAAATAGCGTTTACTTTTTAGGCAGCCTCATAATACAGTCGACTAATATTGAGTAGACGGTCAGCCAAAATCTCCAAGTCTTTTTCACATGTGTTGATGTTAAAATTTTTTTAATTGTGGTAAAATGTGTTTAACATTAAGCATTAACATCTTAGGCATTTTTACATTTAAGCATTTAACATTAACATCTTAAACATTTTTAAGTGTACAGTGCAGTAGTTTTAAATATTCAAATTGTTGTACGACCAATCTCCAGAACTTTCTTATCTTTCAAAACAAATTCTGTACCCATTAAACAACTCCCCATTTCTGCCTCTCCTCGGTCCCTGGCAATCACAATTTGACTTTCTGTTTCTGTAAATTTGACTGCTTTAGATACTTCATATAAGTGGAATTGTACAGTATTTGTCTTGTTTCACTTAGTATAATGTCTTAAGGTTCATTCATGTAGTAGTATGTATCAGAATTTCCTTCCCATTTAAAGCTGAGTAATATACCATTGTCAGTACATATTGCACTTTGTTTATCCATTCATATCTTAATGGATACTTTGGCTGCTCCCCTCTATTGGCTATTGTAAATAATGTTGCTATGAATAAAGGTGTGAAAATACCTCTTTGAGACCCTGCTTTTAATTTTTGTGATTATATACCCAGAAGTGGAATTGCTGGATCATATGGTAGTTCTATATGTAATTTCTTGAGGAACTAGCATGCTGTTTTCCACAGTGGCTATACCATTTTATATCCCTATGCACAGTGAACAAGTGTTCCAGTTTTTCTACACCCTTGCCAACCTTGTTATTTTCTGTTTGTGTGTGTGTGTGTTTTAGTAGCCATCCTAATGAGTGTGAGGTGATATCTCATTGTGGCTTTGATTTGCGTTTTCCTAATTAGTGATGCTGAGTTGGCCATTACATTTTGTTTGTTTTTGTTTTTGTTTCTGTAGTTAGGGTCTTTGTCACCCAGGCTAGAATACAATGACATGATCATGGCTCACCACATCTCCAGCCTCCAGGACTCAGGTGATCCTTCTGCCTCAGCCTCCCAAATAGCTGGGACTACAGGCGTGTGCCACCATGCCTGGGTAATTTTTTGATTTTTTGTAGAGACAAGGTCTCGCTATGTCACCAGGATAGTCTTGAACTCCTGGGCTCAGGTGATCCTCCTGCCTTAGCCTCCCAAAGTACTGGAATTACAGGCATAAGCCACCATGCTCAGCCTACATTTGTTCTTTAATCGGATTTTCTGGTCCAGATTTTTAAGACCACAACTTGTTTTATCTCTGTCAGGCCTCAGCTTGTTTGATATGTCCCATTGCTCCACGTAATTGAGCTCACCTTAGATTCTAAGACTTTCATGCTTTGTTTACTATTTCTTCCACCTTCATATCAACTGTAGATTAAATATATCTGGCCCAAATCATTTTCTCCTCTCAGTCACTAACAATGACTAAGCTTCTGACTTCCCAGCAGCTAACTGCTCAATAATTAAGCTGGCTTTATCACATATCTTTGAGGTGTTTAGAGTGCACAAGGCACTCTGGTATAGAATGGACTGCTCCGGATATCTTGAATTCCCTGTCACTAGCTTAGTTCAAGGACTGAGTGGTCTATTACCCAGAAGACTTAGAGGAGACTTTTCTGTGGAATGAGAGTTAGCACTAGATAAACTCTATCATTCTGGAATTTTATTATCTGAGCCTTGCTTAGTCTGTTTTGCCCATTCATACAGAAATTAATTTTTTTAAATTATTTTTTGTCTTGGATAGTTAATACATTTCATATAACTGAAAAAAGGTATAAAATATGTACATCCCATTCCCATTCCCATTCCCCTGCCTCCTCTGGGCAGGCACTGTTGTTTCTTGTTATCTTTCCAGTGCTGCTTCATACAGAAGCTAATAAAAACAAGTATATAATTCATTACTTCCTAATACCTCTTTTTAAAACTTTTTAACATGTGAAGTGATAACACATATGCAGAAAAGAAAACAAATGTCAGCTGGATGAGTTATGGCAAAGGCGACACTTGTGGACTCATCACACATAAAACCTACTACCAGTGATCCAATAAATAGGATGTTGGCAGCACCTGAAAATTTTATCTTATGGCCCCTCTCTCCTTCCCAAAGGTAATTACAATGCTGATTTATAGTTCTGGAGTTTAATTGTCCTTATTTTTAATCTTTATGTCTTTGCTATGTATTCTTTATGTCTGGCTTATTATTATTATTATTGCTTAATATTATTGAGGTGTATCCAGATTGTTATGTGCAACTGTAATTTGTTTATTTTTATTGTTATATAGTATTCCATTATATAAATATACCACAATTTAAGTGATTTGTTCTACTCTTAGTGAATATTTGGATTAGCTATTATAAGTATGGATCATGCTGCTATGAACATTCTTGTATATGTTTTTTGGTACTATGGGCATACATTTTGTTGAGTATGTTTCTAGGAGTGACATTACTGGTCATATGGTATGTGTATCGTCCACCTTAATAGATAATGCCAGCCAACTTTCCAGAGTGGTGGATGTAAGGATTGGTCTGCCTCAGTTCCATCCTTATTCCTAGGATTTAGTCCTTTAAGGTTCTACTGCAAATTACATGTGTGTTTACCAGAGCCTCTGAGTTTTGTCCTCCTAGTCTGATAAGGCTGTCAAATGAATTGCTCAGCTTCTCAGTCTTTCGGTTACCTCTTTGAAGTACTAGTAGGATACCCTGAGGGAAAAAGGAACTTGAAATACCCAGTCAGCCTCTCTGAATTAACTCTCAGTTCTTGAACTGTAATTCATCATTGTGTTATTGGCTTTCTGGTATTTTCAAATAGATATTTTTGTATTAATATTTTATCTGTCTTTTCTAGTTCTTAGGGGAAGGGTGGGTCCAATTACTTATTAGTTTGCTGTAACTAGAAGTTCCTTTCCTTCATGTTTCTTATGCAAAAAGTAGCCTACTACATACACTGTTCTGTATTTTGCTTTGTTCATTTGACAATATATTATGGAAATCTTTCCATATCAAAATATGGAAAAAAGGTATTTCTTTTTCTTTTTCCCCCATGTATTGTATGTTCATTTCACCAGTCCTCTATTGATAAATATTTGTTTGCAATATTTTACTGTTTCAAGCAATGCTGTGTTGAATAATCTTATACATTCATAATTTGATGATCAGATAGATACATCTTAGGATAAGTTCCCAGAATTGGACATGATAGAAAAGAATGAATGTATTATAATTTTGATATGTCCTACATAAGGGTTGAACACTTTAGCCCATGTATGAGAGTACTTATTTCTTCACATTTGCCAACAGAATATTGTCAAACTTTATGGTTTTTCCAATTTATTAGATGAAAAATGCTTTGTCAGTTTAGTTTTAATTTGTGTTTCTTTTTTGTGTATGAGATTGGATATATTTTCTTTTTCTTTTTGTGAGTATCTGATCTTGCCCTTTGCTAGTTGGGTTGCTGGAAATTTTCTTACTGATTTCTAGTATTATTTTTAAAATGTGTTAGGGAGCTGAGACTTTTCTTTGTGGTATGTCTGGTTAGGCATTATCTCATTGTATTCATATAACAACTCTGTCAGGATGTTATTGAATTTTTCTTTAAACTGGTGAAGAAATTGAGGTAATGTAAAATTAAGTAACTTGCCCAAGGTCACAAAATAAGTGATGAAAGCAGAGTTTGAACTAAATGTCTCTGACTCCATGCTTGAGCTTCTAACAACAGTTTTTTTTAATGAATTACCCTCCCAGCATTACAGGAAGAAAAAAATATATCTTAAATTTCCCTTTATTTGCCTAAAACTACCCTATTTGCCTGCCTTGCTTTTCTTCTTGTTTTGGTCTCTCTTTCTTTGTAAAAATATATATTTAGCTCCTATTATGTGGCAGGTACTGGAGATACAAGTATAGTTTGGTTTCTGCTCTCAAAAGGGCTCATAGTCCAGGAAGGGAGACAGTTATAAAAAAAATTACAATGTTATACAATAAATGCAATAACTTATTAGGGGGAGGAGAGAGAGTTTCATGAAGGAGGTGACTTCTGAGTTGGGTGTTGGAGGATGATTTGGAAATCTAGATAAAGTGAGGAAGAACATTCAAGACAGTGGGGACAATGTGTATAATATTTAGCATTGTGTCTGTCCAGCTTTATAAGTCATCCTATAATATTTGAGATATAGTGAATACTTGGGCCCTCACTATTTTGTAGATTTTTATAACACTGATTCCTTGTTTATGAAAAGTACTAGTACTTTTAGTGAGCTTCATATCTTCCTTTAGTACCTCACTCCTACTTTCTCTCTCCCTTTTCCTTGTCTAGTGGGGTCCCCTGAAGCCACTGATGGAAGCCACTTTACCTGGGCATCGGACCATGAACCCCTGTCCTGTGTGGGAGCACAAGAGTGGTTGTGTGTTCCTGTTCTTCATCTGTGTGTGGGACCACGTCACTGAGCGTCAACAGATTGTGTCGGGCAGGAATGCTGCCCGCCTCTGCTTCATCTGTAGTCAAGATGCTGGATGTTCGTGGAGTGAGGTGAGGGACTTGACCGAGGAGATCATTGGCCCAGAGATGAAGCACTGGGCCACGTTTGCTGTTGGCCCAGGTCATGGCATCCAGCTGCAGTCAGGGAGACTGGTCATCCCTGCATACACCTACTATATCCCTTATGGGTTTTTTGGCTTACGACTGCCATGTAAAACCAGGCCTCATTCCCTGATGATCTACAGTGATGACCTAGGGGTCACGTGGCACCATGGCAGACTCATTAGGCCCTTGGTGACAGTGGAGTGCCAAGTGGCAGAGGTGACCAGGAGGTCTGGTCACCCTGTGTTATATTGCAGTGCCCGGACACCAAACAGGTGCCGAGCAGAGGCTCTCAGCACTGACCACGGTGAATGCTTTCAAAATCTGGCCCTGAGTCGACAGCTTTGTGAGCCCCCACGTGGCTGCCAAGGCAGTGTGGTAAGTTTCCGGTCCCTGGAGATGCCAGGTAGGTGCCAGGACTCTAGTGGCAAAGATGCTCCCATCATTCAGCAGAGCCCTCTGCTGGACAGTTCACTGAGGCTGGAGGAGGAAGATGGAACACTGTCGGAATCATGGCTCCTGTACTCACACCCGACAAATAAGAAACGGAGGGTTGACCTAGGTATCTACCTCAACCAGAACCCCTTGGAGGATGCCTGCTGGTCCCGACCCTGGATCTTGCACTGTGGGCCCTGTGGCTACTCTGATCTGGCTGCTCTGGAGGAAGAGGGCTTGTTTGCGTGTTTGTTTGAATGTGGGACCAAGCAGGAGTGTGAGCAGATTTCCTTCCGCCTGTTTACAGACCAAGAGATCCTTAGCCACAGGCAGGGAGTCTGCACCAGCTCTGGTAGAAACCTGAGCCTGTTCAAGAATTACTAATTGCCTAAGGACCCAACTTTCCATAGAAGGAAATGACAACTACGGCCAGGATAACAGAGGTTACTGAAGTCTACAGAGAATTCAAAAATGGAATATTTTGATCCTCCTCTAGAGAGCAAAATGCAAATTTTGCCACAGTGACTGCAATGGAAAGAGCACTGCACTGGGAGTTGGAGGACCAGGATGTGGTACTGGCTCTGCAGCTGGCTTGCTTTAGGACCTTGGACATGTCGCCTGAACTTTGGGCCTCAAGTCTCCATTTGTAAAATGAGAGAATTGGTTCTATGATTTCTTGCCTTCCCATCCCTAGGAGAGGCAGAGTGCCTATATGCTCCATGATCAGAAAGATCTGGCTGATCTCAAAGTGGAAATCAAAGAACTTACCTTTTCAAATGACTTGCCCCTCAATCAAGTGTGGAACATCTGCTGATGTCATAATAGGAAGGAAGCTTTGAAGGGTTTTTTTCTGTTTTTAGTAACAAAAACATCTATACCCTTTCTAGTCAGGCTCAGAGCTTTGTATCCTAGAGAAATTGAGCAAAAACAGTAGAGTCATGAGGTCACCTACCATCTCCAGCTTTGTAGCTCTGATAACTGTCACTTCCTCCTCCAGAAAGCTTGATAACTGTTACTAGTGGCATTCACCCAATGAAAGATGGGCCTGATTAGGATGGTTCTTGATGGGGAAAGAACATAGTTTAGTACTTTAAAACACTGGGTGAAACTTATGGTGTCTACCCTTAAGGAGCTCACAGTTCATGGGGCTAGAAGAGGGAGAAAATTCAAGAACATAAGTGCAGGTGGTGGGATAGTTTGTAGATGTTTGGCTATAAGTTGGGGTAATGGTAGCTTCTGCTGTCGTTGTCTTAGTTGCATCTTTAATGCTCCTGGAGTCATCTGTCCAAGGCTTAGCCAGGCTGCTGGGTTTCCCTCAAGTTTGTTTTTTCAGGATGTCCTGGCCTAGCTACTTCTTTACCTGTAGAGAAGGTCTTCACCATAAGGAGGGTCTTGGACCCCTCAGCTCTGATTCTGGCCAGTTCGTTTGGATCTACTAGAGTTACTTTCTGTGAAGTAGGGATGCCTTCTTGTCTAATGGCTTTCATGCTAAACTTAGCCAGTGCTGAGTCAGATGATACCAGATTGGTTGCTCTTATCTTAAATTGTTTCTCCTATATCCTGTTATGGTGACAGAAATTCTATCAGGAAATAGACACTTTGTCCTTATTTTAGGAGGAAAATGCCTTAAACTGGTAGCAGCTAAATATATTTGGTGCTAGGTAATGGCCACAAAGAGTTAAGTCTTAGTCATGGAAAATAACCTGGGAGGCTAGGGGTTGCAGTTATGCCAGTCCCACAAGATGACAGTAAAAATTAACTTTACCTACTTCAGCACATTGCTAAAGCCCATGGTATAGGGTAGCTTTTAAAAATTCTCTTAACCTCTCATACATTTGCCAAAGTTATTGCCCCAATACACAGTTACAATCAGTCATTCACTCATGTATACATTTATCTCAATATTTCTTGCATAGCTCAAGGTACTTTCTGTTGCCATTTCTTAGTTCAGAATCGTTTGTGGCTCCCTCTTACCTACTGAAGGGTGTTTACATTTATCCTGACATGCAGGCCCTTCCAGCTGTTAGTGCAATAATGCATAAATACTTCCCTACTTGATCTCTGTCAAGTTGGCATGGAGAATGGTGGGGGTTTAGGGTGGGCAGGCTTGGTGGCACAGGAAGAAATTGGGGAAAGGGAGAGGACTAAAAGGACAGCCCCCTCCTGATTGGTAGAATCTCCTTGTTCAGCAAGCTTTCCTGAGTACTATACCACAGTTCGATGGGAATAGGGAGTCCTACAACCAGAGCTAAAGGGTGAAGAGAATGAGAATATCAAAACTTCTTTAGGACTATCCAAGAAGTGAGTCAAGGCAGGGACTTCAGTCTCATGTCGGTGTGGACCAGAGATGTCTAATACCAGTACCTATAAGTGGTCCATTTCTAAATTGCCATCTTCTTATTCCTTCCTCCTTGCCTCAAGTTTGGTTTTCCTAGCATCAAAAGTCTTAATTGGGAAAGGGGCTATGTACTTATTTCAGTAATAGTAAGAAAAGAGCGTTAGAGACAGTAGAAATCCAGAGAGAGAGGAACAGAGTGGGTGATGGCGTTGGTGAAGAAAAAGAACAGCAGATCAGAGTCCTGGCAAGTTGGGAAGAAAGAGAAAGGGCACAGACATGAGGTCTAGGCTGGAGACGTGGCGGAGGTGGTAGCTGCTGTGAAGAAATGGCAGCAGACTGGAGCTGTTCTCTGAAACCTGTGAGAAGAGAGAGAAGCTTGCACAGGCCGGCAGCTTAGCCTGCAATGATGCTCTTGCCAAGCCCTGCAGCTTTAAGCTGGCTCATCTTATCCACGTTCTAGGTGACTAACCAACACAGCTATAGGCACTCTGACTCCGTGCCAGTTACCAAAGGTCTTCAGGGCTAGGGACTTGTGGTATGACACTGGTACCCTACAGCTCATTTCAGCCACCCTCAAGTTGGTAGAACAGAAGAGAGGGCAGGTGGCAGCTGTGAAGAAAAGAGGAAGGCAGACAGGAGTCTATAATCTGTAGGCTTGAAGAAAGGATCATTGGCCTCAGATGCCCCTACATTGTCCCTTGGACCATTAGAATGATGCCATCTGGCCCACATGGCCCACCACTGGGAGTGCAGGAGGAATGAATGGGGGCCTCCTGCTGCTGGAATGTTCCCAGGCCAGCCTCTCATCCATTCAGTCTGCCGGCCCTGTCCGTGCTCTTAATTTTCACCTCAGGCCCTTGTTTGGGTGTTTCATTTGGACCTGTTTCTTCTGGTCACCAATCTCCCCTCAGATATCCACAGGATATCATGCAACTGCAGCCAAAGGGAAGAGACTTTTCACCCTGCCTTTTGGGTAGCCCAAAGGACCCACAGAGGTCAGTCTCTGCACAGGGTCCTTCCCAGGACAATAGGATTTGATAGCTCTACTCTGGCCACATTAGGCCACTTACTTTTCTCCAGTAGGACAAAAGTTTTCCCCACTGTATTATTTAGATAGATGCCATGTCATCCTCTGTGGTGCCAGAGTTCACAGTTTGAGCCTCCCTTTGGTCTTTGTCTCAGGCTGCTGTGTATTGATGTCTGTGTTGTGTCCTCTAGGCCTCTGCTAGACTGTGACCTTCTTTAGGGCTGGGTCTGTTTGAGTCTTCTCTGTGTCACTTTTACCTTGAATCACTGACTTATCTGAGGTATATGCTTTCTCTGTCATATTCTGAATTCCCTGATGGTAAGGACTATGTCTGATTCCTCTTTTGTCCTTTGCATCCAGCACAGGGCTGGGAACAAAGTAGACAGCAGTAAAGATATGTTGAATGCATTAATGAGTAAAAGACTCTTTGCCTTCTGGGACTGATTGAGGAGTCCAGGGGGAGTTCTGCTTCAGGGAGGAAGATATTGCATCCTTCTGTGGATTGCATAGCATTTTAAACCTACTGAACATTCACTCTAAATGAGTGTTCTCTGTGCTGGCTTGCTTCCAGGTCATTTACTTCTGGGGAATGGGCTTTTCTCTGGCTTGAATTTGGTCCTGCCTGGCTGTCCCAAGGATCATAGCGCAAGCCCAAAGCTAGGCCTTGATATGGATTTCTCATCTCACTGGCATTTTTCCTCTGTCCCTGATTGGATTTTCCACAACTGCCACTTCTCTAGGACTCCAGGGGAGATGCTGAGGCTTAGTGTGTTCTGAGTGTGTCTTGGCTCTGTGAAGCCGAGTGCCAGAAATACTGTACTATAAAAACTACTATCACTCTTTTAAACAAGAAAGATGAATAAAGAGCTTAATTCTGGTGACTGTTGTTTTGCTGTTGCTGTTGTAGTTTTTCTTAAAGAAACTGCGAGATTACAGTCCTAATATTTGGTTTGTACCTACTTTCTTTCAAAAAATGAATTTGAGACAATTTCTTGCTTTTCATAAGAGATGTTACTTTAGCCGGGCTTGGTGGCTCAGCCTATAATCCCGCGCTTTGGGAGGCTGAGGTGAGTGGATTGCCTGAGCCCGTGAGTTCGAGACCCCCCTGGGCAGGCGAGACCTCATTTCTACAATAAATAAAAAAAATTAGCTGGGTGTGGTAGCGTGAACCTGTAGTTCCAGCTACTTGGAAGGCTGAGGCGGAAGGATCGCCGGAGCCCAGCAAGTCGAGGCTGTGGTGGCCGGAAGTGTGCCACTGCACTCCAGTCGGGGCGACAGAGTGAGACTCCAACTCAAAAAAAAAAATAGAGATGTTACTTTAAAAAAAAATATTTAATAATAATCCTTTGCACTTTTACACACTGTCATTTGAACAGAGTTACCTATTAAGGAAAGCAGGGCAGGGATTTCCCTTACTGGTTTGAGAGCATGATATTATACACCAGCTTTTAAGTGGAGGAATCCGGTAGTACAGAGTCACCACTGACACCAGCACTTGTCACTGAATGTCTTATCCTTTTTTCAAATACCTTGAAGTTATTCTCAAATTGTAGCTGAAGAGGCTACAAATATTTATCAAAATGAAGTAGTAAGCTTTAACTTAACTCTTGATTTTTACTTGACTTTGTTTCATTGTACTTTAAGTCTCCTCTGAATTTGACCAGATGTTTCAGCATAACTCCTTAAGTTCTGTCACTAGGTCAGTCCACTTTTTAAAAACAAATTTGCTATTGAAAAGCTTTCAATTGGGTTAATATTTTGTTGTAACACTGAAAGTCATATAGTGGAGGAATAAAGGAAGTTCAGAGAACTGCTAATTTGCCTCTTAAAAATAGTTTTACAATGATTCTAAAATCATTAAATAAGAAATCCAATGATCTATTTTATTTTTGCATATTTTATTAGATTGCTTAATGTCCAAGGGCCCTTTGGGCTTGAGAAGAATATACACAACTACATAAACTTTAGTACTCAATTTATTAAACATCCAATAAAATATTGAAAACTTGGATATTTAACAATAACAAATTTGATTTATGAACTGCCTTAAACATAAATACCAATTACAAATTCAGTATAACTGATCCTTTTGAACCTTTCAAATACCATAAATAGTGGATAAAATATAAATAAGTTCAATATTACAAAACATGTACCAGAGTGGAGCACAAAAGAGCTGCTGCCATGGATTTAACTGTGTTACTTAATATACCTCCTGGGAGTTCTAACTTTGAAACCTCTCTAGGCCTTTAGTAACTTGACCAGACTTTTTTCCCCCAACTTCCTTGAGATTTTATAATAATAGATACAAAGGGAAAAGTACCATTCAGACAA